AAGTATAATAAATAGTTCAGTTTGCCGAAATGCAAGTAATCCTATTTTTACGAAATATGTTTGGAGTTTATATTGCAAATATAAAAATGATGCAAAGTCAAAGTAATTTTGAAACTATTTAAGAAATATTGTAGTTGTGATGGCGAAAACTAGCAAAATAAATGGTTTTGGGGGGCACAACTAAATTTCGATTAGGAATCGCTCTCGACTTAGAAGTCCCTCAACAAATTATAATCCAATTATCGTTAATTCCAGCCCCCCGCCGACGGTGAACAATCCATTATAAGGGTCCTTCCGGCGGGCCCTCCACTATAATATTGCCCCCCGTTATAAGCCACGATTCCAATCCGTTTCATCAATCATCCGCCCAATCAAATTCGCCGACTCATTCGAGTGACTTTGGTGTTGCTTTTGACACATTTCTCGAGCGCCAAATCGATCATTATCAGCAAATGCCGTCGTCGCAAACGCCCCACAAAAAAAAATACTGTATAAAATATATATGTATCAATACCTAACGAAAATAAAAATCACGAGAAGTGCCAAATACTCTTTTATATACACTATTTAAAATTGTGTTATATTAATGAAAACCATTTAAACGAATAGCGAATTCTTCTGTCTGTAAAGCTTACTAATAAAATAATTATTAGCTTGTTATAAGATGCAAAATAAAATATATGTTTAAAGTTCCTTGAATATATAAATATTTTTTATTTGTTATGCACAGCAATTAAAATCGATAATAAGATTAAATAATATATTTTGGCCATAAAATATATAAATCAAAGAAATATTTTCTTAATTTAAATAAACATTTTTTTGCTTTTTTACCGATAGATTTGTTGAACCCTCCGAAAGGGTATTAATCCGAAAAGATTACCCAAAGAGAAGAGAGAACGATCTGTGGAAAGTAGTGGGCAGCTCATTTGGAGCTCCGATTTGGTCATTTTGATCGTCTTTATTCCCTTGTGCGCAAATTATGTTTTATTAATTTAATTTTTTAACGAGTGGCGATCCATGCCGCGATTTATGACCCCGACCTATACATACATATGTATATTGAGACATATTCCGTATGGTCCCGCAGCTTATTTGCCTCTAATTTCGTTCGCAGAAGGCATCGTAATGATCACTGATGAGGTGTTTATGAGCACGGCCAGGTATTTGGGCTTCGGATATTTTGCATTAGTCACGCTTATTGTATTCGACCGAAACGGGGGCGTTTCTTGGTTTTCGGTTATGGGTTATGGGCTATGTGTTATGGGTTTTCGGGGTCTCGGATCGGCATTACCCATTGTCTTTGTGGCGCATTTTCCACCTTCGATCTGGCGGCAGCCATTGGACACAGGGAAATCGCTTTAAAATCGATCGGTGAGCTGAAATCGAAAACGTGAGAAATTGATTCGATATGCTGGCGAGGGAATGCAATCGCCGGAAGCTCATCTTTTTAGGTGTGGCCTATAATCAGATGCGGGTTGCCTTGTGGATATATGAGCTTTTAAGTGACTGACCAGTCATTGGTTTTATATTTACCTTTATCATAATGAAAGGAATGCTTTGTGCAATTTCTTATGTCGTGTTGAATTGTAGCTAAAATTATAGAAACATTCTGCAACATAAATTATTATTTGTAATTATTTTCTTAGACTTCGATTGAGGCTATTAGATCAAATATGGCCATTTCCAGGATGTCGGACGTGACATTTTTTGGACTTAAAAATATGAGTGATAAAGTACATATTTTGTAGTTTTTATTTTTTTGTTTTATAGCTCTGGCGCTCTTCTATTAATGGTCATAAAATAAAGGGTATCTGTCTAGCCATAAGTAAAATAGGTAAACTAATGACGAGACAAGAAAACAAGTGATTTTTTTGATTTCTCATTTTTTTCAACATTTTTGAATATAGTTGGTCTATTTATTATTTATCTGTTCTGTATTCAGCTGTTTTTGACTCTTATGCCGGCGAAAAATTACGGCAATCCATTTAATAGATCTTTGTATCTTTAATTTGGTACAAACAAAACAGTAAGTAAAATGTATGTATTTATAAAAAAATTTAAAATCAAATCTATTTGGCTATAAAAATGTCCATAAAGCATTTAAAAAAAAAAAACTGTCACGTCCGACATTCTGGAAATGTCCATATATGAATAGCACTCATTAAAGCCCCTAATCAATATGACAATTTAATGCCAGCTGTGTTTCTAAAAACATATAAATAAATAAATAATCAATTATTAAAACACAGAGTAAACTACAGAAAAATAGGTACATACACTCATAGAAATTTTTACCTAAATACTAGAAAAGTCGCCCTAAAACCGAGGTCGCCCTAAAACTACGAAAAATTTTCTTATTATACGGGTGGCTAGCCCTAAAGTTACGAAAAATCGCCATGGAAAATATTTTTTAGGGTTAGTTTTTCCAAAAAGGCCAATTTGCCCTGTTTTTTAGGGCGAATTTTCATGAGTCGACTCCAAAAGTAATTCCTTCTTTTTAGGGCGAAATCGCCCTAAAACGTTGAACAAAATAGCAAAAAAAATGTTCTGAAATTGCCCTAAAAACAAGGAAGAGTCAAACGAAATTTTAAGACGCAATTAATGGATACATATGTAATACATGTGTGTATGTGTGTGCGGTTGACAGGTCAAAACAAGTGAATGTGTGTGTATATTAGGGCGGACCTTTTTCTATGAATTTTGATGCTGAGCGCATTTGACTTTAGAGAAGTCCACCCTTTTTCTTCTTCTTTTCTACCTTTCGTCCGTTGCAGTGGCAAGGGTGGGGGTAGAAAGAGTTGCATTGTCTAGACTTTGTCATAATTTTTCGGGCGCTTGGCGGCGTAAGACGTGTTTGTGAAACCTTTTGTTTGTGAAAAAGTGAAAAATGTAAACGCTATTAAAGGACTTGGGAGGCGATTCTTTCTCTGTTTTCTGGTGAGTACATACATACATATAATTGTGCAATTTGGATATTAATAACTAATTGAATTTACATATCTGTAACAAAGGAAAATGCAGCTGAAACTTTAAAAAAATTGACTGGAAGCAGCTACGAGGAGAAATTCCTGTTCAACTAGACGGTCCAGAAGCGGAAGTTTTGGAAGTGTGGCAAAACAAAGTAAGATCATTAATAAGAGTATACATATATGTATGTGTATATGTAAATAATGCTTGAGTTAAAAAGATGATGCAACAGAATACACACATACATATGTATATATTTACAAGAAATCTGTATTTATGCACCGGACAAACCGCATTCACAAGTGCATATGCCAAAATAACCCCCATATTTCTATTGCGTCATTTCGTCGTTTTTTCCAGAAGTAGCAGCAAACGCAATCGCAGGCTAAATGAAAATTCTGACTGTTAGTAGTGCATTTTTATATTAATTTCTAACAATTTTTTTTCTTGTTTTAGATTGAGAACGTCTTTGAGATCCAGCTTCCGCAAACCACTTTTCGCACTTTTTAAAAGCGAAAGTAAGGGAATAAAACTGCTCAAATCTTTGGAAAGCCACGCTGAAGGTATGTGCTGTTTCTCTTTTTCTTTTCTCATTCAATAAATAGACTGTTTTTATTTAATAGAGATACAATCAACTTTAATTTGGCATGCGATCCATTCAGTGTTGGTGCGACAGCAATGACAAAGAAGGACGGCGGGAGCAAGAACGCGAAGCACACCATTGCGGACCCGCGAAGCCGTTTCTTGGTTTGGAAGGCTACTGTTGGGGAACTGCAAACACATCTAAAGGCATTGACGGAAAATTGCTAATCCGGAAAGCCGAAACTGCAACCATTCAGCTGCAACGTGGGAACAAGCCCTTTTTGACCTTGGTGAATTTCCAGTTTACCTATCAGAGGTTTTTTTATAGAATGCGAACCTTATTGAAAAGTATTGATGTGTGCTTCAAAATATTTTTTGTTTTAAACCACGACATTTATCCAAAAAATGTTTTATGAAATTCATTTAGAGTCTGATAAGAAAGGTAAAGCTTTATCCGAACTCTTGGAGGATTATAAAACCTTAAAACTGTAACTATTTTAAAGAAACAATCTGTTCATTCCAAAAAAAATATTATTTCTATCAGTACTTATTGTAATAAACCTTAAAAGACCTAAAATTCCCTCCGGCGGAAGCACACAACCTAAAGACCAAAAAATACATTAAGCCAAAACATTATTTTTACGATCGATGTAATTCTTTTAGCAATAAGAATAAGTAGAAAAGTATGTAAATGTATATAATTAGAAATTGTGTAAATAACAACAAACAAAAATATAAAAAAAAAAACAAAAAAAATATAATGAAATCGTATTTTTATTTATAAAAAAAAACCGGGAAATTTTGGGGAGCACTTTGCTTTTTTTAGGGCAATTCGCCTATAAATCCAGAAAAACGCCCTACATTTATGAAAATCTGCCTTTAGTTTCAGGATATTTTTTCATATTTCTAGGGCAATTTGCCCTAAAATCCAGAAAAACACCCTAGATTTATGAAAATCTGCCTTTAGTTTAAAGGTATTTTTTCCGATTTCCAGGGCAATTCGCCTATAAGTCCAGAAAAATCGCCCTGGATTTAAAGAAAACTGCCTTTAGTTTAAGGGTCTCATTTCTTATTTTTAGGGCAATTACCTTTGAAAATAGAAAAATCGCCCTAGATCTACGAAAAATCGCCCTAAATGTATGACAAATTCACCCGTATTTTTAGGGCAATTTGCCCTAATTTTGTTGCCTAGTCGCCATTGACCCCCGTTTTAGGGCGATTTTCCTTGTTTTTAGGGCGATTTTACCGGAAAATTTCTATGAGTGTATAATTTGTTGTTCAAATGTACCAATCTAACTTTTTATAAATAGTTTAAAGTCGGTTTTGACCCTAATCACAAAAAGTCTGTATTTTGCCTCTTATCAGCAATATTTTCGGTTTCTTTATTAGCAACAAATAAAATTCAGTACGTTTCAAGAGTTCCCTTTGAATAGTTTTAAAAATTTGCAATGCTGAGGCTGATATATTTTCCGATGCTGCTCCTTATTATCCTGGTGTCTCAAGGATCTGTTGCGAAATCAGAGGAAAATGGGCGATCCACTTGCCTGTTGCAGGACCCACAGAATCAGTGTGGCGACTTCTGCCTTAGCAAGATCAATCCGATTATTGAGTTGGTTCCCGAGACCAATTCCAAGTTGGAAAGAATCCACGGCGAGCAGCAGTCCATCCAGATGAAGCTCCTGGCAGTTCAGTCCAAGTTGGAGATTTCTATGCAAAGCAAGCTGGATGCCCAACTTCTGGCGGTTCAGAAAAAGCTAGAGGACCAAAATACTGCCCTTTTTAAATCCTTTGAGGAGAGATTCGAGACCAAAGTAGAGGCCCAACTAAAGGAGCTTCAAAACAAAGCTGAAAACCAACTTATGGCGCTGGCGAACCAACTATCGGCCTTACAGAAAACCCTTTTCGAAACCCTTTCCACAATCAATTCCAAGATCATCCCTCCAAAGTTCGAGCTAATTGGCTCTAGACATTTTTATATCGAAAATAATATTGTGCAATCCTGGGATAAGGCTGCAGAAACATGTCGTGCAATGGGCGGCTATTTGGCGGCTTTCAAAACCCAAGAGGAACTCGCGGCCATAATGCCGAAACTTGATAGTCTGAGCTGGTACTGGACTGGCATCAAGCATTTGAAGGAAGATGGCACGTTCATATCCACGGCCTCCGGAAAGCCTGCAACCATTTTTAGGTGGAAGAAGGGAGAGCCCAACAATAGCGGTGCATGCGTTGAGCTGGATAAATGGGGCATGCGTGATATCCGTTGTAGCTTTGGACGTTATTTTATTTGCCAATTAGATAATGAAACCTAAATGTAAGTTGTAAGCTATATATATTTTTTTTAAATACAATTCAAAATAGATGTGGCTTTGGTTCTTGTGGTTCTTGTTTAAGTTACGTTATATGTTATTTGCAACAATGTGAATGTCTGGAATTTCCGATTGTGGCTATTGAAATAAATATATTTATATTATGGATTTATCGGCCTCCCAACACTCATGTAGCCCTCTAATCTGCATGATAAACTTAAATGCCAGCAGTGTTTCTATAATCAAAAATGGGGTTATTTTATTAAAACAAGAGGGTTGTTTGAAAAGCTTGGAAATCCAAATAATTAATACATGGTAATTAAGTCTTTTAGCCATGTCTCAATTTTATTATTTAAATAAAAGTTTACTCAATGTTAGAAAATGTTTTCATTTGAATGGTATTTATTTCATTTACAAATAAATCGCTTTTATGAATGAATTATAATATTGGCTCAAAAATGTTTTTGCTGTAAGCTAAATCTCCGTAAATTTGCATGATTTTACAGGACCCTTCATATAAATACAATAACCATCGACTTCTTACAGGTTGCACACTTGAATGAACGTATGGGATCGTTTTCAACAATATTTGCAAGCATCGGGAATTCGCTTAACCTTCGGTTATCTCAGCGATTATACCGCTTATCAGAATTTTTCAGTTGTCTTGCTTATAAGCAAGCAGATTAAATTTAGTACGTTTTGAAAGATTTCTTTGAGCGGTTGTTATACACATTCGAAATGCTGAAGCTTGCTTATTTTTCTGTGTTGCTCCTAATTGTCCTGAATGTGCACGGATTTCTGGCGAATTCGCAGGACAATGGGAATGGGATGGTGGATTTAATTCGCGAGGCCAGTTCCAAAATGAAAAACATCCACGGCGAGCAGCAATCGGAATTGGACTCCCAATTTCTGGCGGTTCAGAAAAAGCTGGAGGACCAGAATAAAGCCATTTTTGAATCTTTTGAGGCGAGATTGAATGGAACGGAGGGACAACTACGGATGTTTGAGATTAAAGTGGAAGCTCAACTAAAGGAGCTTCAAAACAAAACTGAAAACCAACTTCTGGCACTGGAGAACCAACTATCGGCCTTTCAGAAAACCCTTCTCGAAACCCTTTCCACAATTAATAACACGATCATGCATCCGAAGTTTGAGCTAATTGGCTCTAGATATTTTTATATCGAACATAATATTTTAAAATCCTGGGAGGAGGCTGCAGAAACATGTCGTGGAATGGGCGGCTATTTGGCGGCTTTCAAAACCGAAGAGGAACTCGCAGCCATAATGCCGAAACTTAAAGAACCATATTTCTGGTACTGGACTGGCATCAAGCATTTGAAGGAAGATGGAAAGTTCATATCTACGGCCTCCGGGAAGCCTGCCACCGTTCTTAAGTGGAACAGCGGAGAGCCCAGGCTTCAAAATGCATGCGTTGCTCTTGATAACAGGGGGATGGATAAAAACAATTGTAGTAATAAATGGTATTTTATTTGCCAATTAGATAATGAAACATAAATATACACAATGCTATATCTCGTCCTTTTGTTAATTTTAAAGTAGGGCTTAAAACTTGAAATCGTATGGGAAATCTGATTTTAAAGCTTCCCTTAAATTTAACAGGCGGGCAAGAAAACGGCCCTTTAACCTTAATATTCACCTAAATTTTGATTACGTAGTATAAGGTCAGCCACTTACCAAAAAAAAAAACAACAACACTATCAAGCATCCGGAATTTGTTCAACCTCAGGAAACCTCAGCGATTACTCTTATCAGAATTTTACAGTTTCTTTGTTTCAAAACACGCAGATTAATTTCAGTTGGTCTTGAAAGATCTCTTCGAGTGGTGGTCATACACTTTCGAAATGCTGAAGCATGTTTTTTTTTCTGTGTCGGTCCTTATTATCCTGAATGTGCCAGGACTCGCGGCGAGTTCGCAGGATCTGATGGATCTGAATCCCGAGACCAATTCCACACTGCAAAGCATCCACGGCGAACAGCAGTCCATCCAAATGAAACTCCTGGCAGTTCAGTCGACGGTGGAGGCCCAAAGAATCACAATGCTGAATTCTTTGAAGAACATCATAACCAACGAAGACCTCGGGGCGAAACTCAACGAGACTGAGAGACAATTGAAGAACCTTCTTCACCTGCTGGAAACCAAGCTGGATGCCCTTTTGGAATCGAAAGAGAACTTCGAAAAGAGATTCAACGATACGGAAGCTCAATTACAGACGGTACTCAGTATGGTGCCCAAAAAAGAATCCAATCCTCTGGAAGCCCCGTCGACGAACTACTCAAAACACATCCCACTGCAGTACGAGAAAATAGGCACAAGGTATTTCTATATTGAGAAGAATCTTACGAAAAATTGGTTCGAGGCCGCAGCAACTTGTCACCAGATGGGCGGCTATTTAGCGGGCATTAAAACCCTAAAGGAATTGTTTGCCATCCAATTGGAACTTGAAGATAATACTTGGTACTGGCTTGGTATCAACGATCTGATGACCGCAGGGCAATTCTTATCAGTAGCCTCTGGAAAGCCAGCAAACACTTTGAATTGGTACTCACAACATCCCAAAAACGACAGAAAATGCGTTCAACTAAGAAACGGATTAATGATTGATTATAGCTGTACAGATAATATTAATTTTATTTGTCAGGCTGACAGCGAAACATAAATAAACAAAAATTATAGTATAATATGAGTTTATTATACTTATAATGACAATATTTTATTATTATATGTATTTGTAGGGGAGAGTGGGGGAATTTCGTCACAGGGGCAATTTCGTCACCTGCAATATCTCGGAATCCATAAGTCGTAAAAATATATAATTTTTTTGTTTTAGTCCTTCAAGACGGCCAGACACAACCAGTGCATTTGTTTTGCACAGAAGGCCAAGATAATTAAGCTATAATATTAATGTGTTTTAACAGTTCAAAAGCTACATTTAGTTCTCGACGAAATTTTTTCTGTATGCCACAATTCAAAAGGAATAAGATACACGATTTTTTATATAATACACAGTGCTATAATCTGCATTTCTGCGTCAATGATTTTTAACTTCGCGACTAATTTCGCAAGAAAAATAATTATTTCTAAAAAAGTACGGTCTGGGGAAATTTCGCCACCCTACGCTAAGGGTAAATTCGCACCTATTTTAAATACATATTTTTATATTTGACGAGCTAGCTAACGAACAGACTACCAGCAGCAGCAACAAATATAGGACGTCAACAAAAATGGTACGCTTGATCAGTGTAGCATATTTTCAGGCGTTAAACTCCCTACATTTTTCAGGTGACGAAATTTCCCCAGTTGTGTGGTGATTTTACCCCCCTGTGTGGTGAGATTGCCCCAGTATATTGGTTTTACATTTTATTTTTTTATAAATCACCAAGCTAATTAAAAAAATAGGGGAATGTCACATTTTAAAGCTTGGTGCTAACCGCATTCAACAATAAAAATAGAAATATGATAACGTGTCTCAAGATGGACAAAAAATAGCTTCGAAAAAATGCTGACGAAATTCCCCCACTCTCCCCTACTATATCTTTGCTATACCTAAAATCTAGATTTTTGGCACATTATGTAAAAAAATGTATACGTATTCCTGCTTTAATAAAATAAAATAATAAAAAAAAAACTCCACATTAAAATGACTTCCAATGATCAATAAATATTACTAACAATTTAAAACAACAACAATTTAATAATAAATTTATTAAATTTGAAAGGGAATAAATCGGTTTGCAATTATATACACACAAAAAAAGTTGATTGGTAAAATTTATAAAAAAAAGTTATTCTACTATTGAAAATAGTAGAGTGTATTTTGTTTTGGCTTTGGGTAATATTTAATAGTAAAACCACTATAAAATAGTCATTTGTGTGCATTTTGTTGTTGTGAGAGTAACTATTTGATTGGTTAAATTTGACAATTCTCTGGTTGGTTTTACTATTATATTGGCTATATTTTTTTGTGTGTAGGCCCTTCCATGAAAACGGGTAAGAAATTGGCAGTTAATTTTTTTGAATTTCCACAGAGACCTAAAGCCCCCGAAAAAAGGGGCTTCCAACAGTGAAAGTTAGCCCTGATGAGAGAAGAGAATTACTCGCACCCATTTATGCGAATTGGTATAATGGAGGCCCGCGCGTGGGAATGTGCTGCTAATCGGGCCGCTGAATACGGCCATCTATCTATTTGCTCAGGCCAAACAAAGGTCCACTCCACACATACAATATATGTACAGTGTTCACCCACTACCACTACCACTCCCACTCCCCGCAAAACACTGGCCAGTGGCCACTTAGCGGATCTCGAACTATATGGCGCCCAAAAGTGCAGTACGGAAATCAAACAATGCCATTAGGCCAATAATTGCCGCTCGTTATTGTTGTAATTGCCGGCATGGAGGCTCTCTAGCTGCCAGCCAGACTAAACGTATTAATTAAGCTATTTATCTAAACTAATGCGAGCATTTAGTGGCCAAGACAAGAAGCAAATTGCACTCATTAGTCCGGTAGTCCGATAGTCTGATACTCCAATAGTCCCATAGCCCGGTAGTCCGCACTCCAGTCTTCGATGAGCCGGCCAATCGGTTTTTCTCCCAGAGATAATTGGCCCGGATAAGTAGCAAGTGGCCGCAGGATTGAGGAATGTTTTCGGGGCCAATTGGCGATATCGTCACTAGCCGGCGGAGCGATCAGCATGGGATGCGGCAGCTATATCATCATTAAGGCCGCTCCCTGGCTGGGAAAACGGGACAGGGAACACGATTATGTGCACTGGGCAAAAAGTGCGGTACTTGACCTAGCAAAAATATAAAAATGCGAATTCTTAAGCATCACTTTGTGGTGCAAGTATTTATTAAGTATTTTTTGGGATAATACAACTAAATTTTATGTTGTACTAGTATTTTCTTTTAGATAACGCGAATTCTTTAGCTTCATTTGGCGATTCAAAGCATATACTCAAATGACTTAAAAAAAACAGTAATATAATTTGCACTGTTTTATGTAGGATTTTTGTTATATTATTATTATTTTATCAATGTTTTATTTTAGTAACTTTACCTATTCTATTAAAATGTTTTTTTTTGTCACTTTTTTATTAATTTTATAACATGTATATGACTAACATTTTTCTCACAGTGCAGCTTATCGTCTGCCGCGTCATTAGCTTGATTATGATTATCAATGAGCACATCGCCAACGCCGTCGCCGTGCCACATTAAATAACACAAGAACTTGTCTTTGTCTTAAAACTGGAACTGGAGCTCAGGGCTCTTTCTTTGGCTTTTAACTTGGCTTTGTCTTTGTCTTTGGGCTTGGACTTGGACTTGCTCAACTGACCGCTATACTTATTTCACAAATTAATAGTAAGCCGTCTGAGAGTCCAACGGAGTTTTCTTGAAGTTGGTAACGAATATGTATCTTAAAGCGCTTAAAATGTATTATAAGAAAATAAAGTATATTAGAAAATCCACTAATCCTTGAAAATTATGTTAAAAATTATGAAATCCATTTATACATTTTGGTTTTAAAAAATTAAAGTATGTATAATTATTTTTTAATTCCCTGTAAATTTATTTAAATTATGCAAAATATGTTTTAAAATAAGAAAAATATAAGAAAAATTATTATATTTGAATGAAATTTATTATTTATAAATTCCTTGTAAATTTGATTTAAATGTAGGGTATTATAACTTCCCCAAAACCCGCTGATCACATCGCCCGCTTTAATTTTCGCCTTAGTTTCGTTTTTGGGGTTTTCCAGCTTGTCCTCCAACGATTCCTAAGATTTGGGATCCGAGATTCGAGATTCGAAATTGGAGATTCGAGATCTGGTGCGGCTGATAAAAGCGCTGGGCTTCCCAAGCGGCGTGACAAATTGTTGGGAGCCGGGCTCGAGATTGGTTTCTGTTCTACGGTGCAGGGTTTCACCAGCTCTAATCATTGTGATTAGCATAATGAGGTTGCTCGGGGGAGGTGGAGGGGACGGATATGTATATCTATATATATGCATATTGATTCTGTCAGCTGTTGCCGGTTTCTGATTTCTTTAATGGAGCCCACAGCCCCGGGGACAGAATCCAGAATCGTTGGACCCCAACTCCTGCACTTACACGTAATCATAATCGTAATAAAAGGCCACATATGGTTGCCAGGTAGCGATGGGTACAGGATAGGTAAAAACCAGAATTGGGTGGGGGAATGTGAGTGGGAATGGGGATGGGAATGACTGGAGGTGGCCACATGTGCCATCTACACACAAAAACACACACACTCTAAGCGAGTGAAATGTGCTCATATTTTAACATTCCACACCCCCCAAAAGCAACGCAGGAAAAAAGTAAAGCAAACCATCAAAAAGGCAACAACATCATCATAAGCAGCATCCCCAAAACACTTGCAAAAAAAAATTTAAATTTATTTTTAATCTTAAGAAATACGTTTAATTTTTATTTAATATATTAATGGGAGTTTTTTTAATCAATTTCCTTAAAAAAAAGTGTACAACTAAGCAAAATTAGTTATCTTATATTTTATTTTTTTAAAACTAAAAATAAACTACAATTTATTTGAATACACGATAGATTTACTTTCGTTTTTAAAAATTAAAAAATAATATAAAAAAAACATTCTTTTAAGTGCTGTATGCCCATCCCCCAGCAATAATAAAAAGCCACAGAAACTGTCACCGGGTACAATGTTTGACAGATGGACTTGCTAGCTGAAGCCGAGCTCATCTAATTTTTGGTATTTGTTCTCGCTGCCGCTGACGGTAGGTCCTCCGACCCCCCAACCCCTGAGATGCCCCACTACCACCATTTTACCGCATATTCCATTTCCGAAATCAGATTTGAATGCGCTCCTCGCGGATGGATCCTGCTCATCGCGTGTATCCTGCAAACCGCAATATGAATGAAGTTTTAATAGATGTCTACGGTGACACATTAAAGACCAGCCAAGCAAAAAACGGTGAGGAGGGTAACAAAAAACACAGAGAAAGAAAAAAAAAAAAAACAAGATGACAATGGGAAAGAATAATGAATCGCAAGATTCAAAGTTACAAAGATACAGGAATGAAATATACGGGGGGAAAGCGGGAAATATGAAAATACACGGAATCACTCATATTTTACGACCCACACACATCTGGCACTTTAATGGGGATTGGTTGCAGGCTTAAAAGATCATAAACTGCTGTACTGCCAGTACGCAAAGTTCATAGTTCGTGGAATTATGGGGGGCCAGAGATTGAATTTTAATTGGCGCGGCTTAAGAGTAACTGCATTTTATTATAATTTCGTTTTCAAAGAAAACGTGCAGTGGGGAGAGAACGGGTGGGTAGAATCCATGGAAATTATTTTTAGAATATCTATAATCTAACCAAGCAAAGGTCGGCTTTTCATTTTAGCTTAGAAATTCAAGGATTTATATTAAATTTAATTTCATAAAATAGTATCAATTAGGTGCATTTATTCTATTTTTTTAAATTTTTTTATATAATTTTTCAACAAAAATTAATATTATTAAATATCACACAATTCGGTTTTTTATTATTATAAATCACTTAACTGACATTCTAAAATCATTTTAAAATGAACTATTTAATACCTAATATATATAATATAATATATATCGATAGTATATATTATATTATATAATTATTTTGTCAGGTTTAAAGATTAACTTCCCAACTTTACGGCTATTATTTCTATTATTTTTACCGCCACTGTACGCACCCCCTAAAAATTGACATATTTTTTTTTTTGCTTGCTGGGCTGTAAAGTAATAACGGGAAATATTCCATATCGAAAAAGAATTGTTGTAGCGCCTTTTATCGCTGGCAAACTTTCGAAAGTTAGTCACTTACCTCCATTCCCCTTTCCTCCCCCTCCACCATTTTTTGCTTCTTCTTCTGGACCTCCGCAACCTTTCACGTTATTTTCCATAAACATAAAAGTTCCCTGCTTCCTTCCGTATAACAGATGGGTGGCAAAACGGGGGGCAGGGGCTGGGAAAATTAGGTAGGGGTGTTGCCACAAAGCCCTGCATATTGTATTTATATTTTGTGATTTTAATGCGGCATTTTGTGGCTGCGGCTTCCTTTGTAAGTGTGTATTTTTTACATATGCACTGGGCCAAAAGTTTGATTTTTAAAAGCATGAACTAACTGTGATTTTGTAGATTTTAAGTCCCATAAAAGTTTGTTTTAATTTTAATACATTTTTCAGAATATCAATCCAATAAGTTTTTTAAATAAGTTTAAATTATAAAAGGGTGAAAACCTATATTTTATATATGTTTTTTTTTCGTAACTTTTACTTTTTATTTTTAGCTTTTATAAAAATTTACTAAAATTATTTAAATTTAATTTGGTTCATATATGCAATTTACTTTTTAAATAGTACCTACATTTTCTCAAGTGCATGTGCTCAACATTAGCAGCAACATTTTTATGACATAATTTCTGTGTTGTTCACCAGCAGGAAAGACACCAAAAAAATAAGGAGAACGGCACGAGGGCACCCAAAAAACCCAAAAAAGGTGAGCCAGAAGACAATCTGCATATGTGGGCACGGGGATTTACGGCTCCCGGGCCCCGAAACTCCCCCGTAACTTCGATGACCTGGCAGGAGTCTGCAGGACGAAATTGAGGATAAGAGGCGGTTGCCTTGGACTCTTGTTTTTACCGAGTTCCCTCTCTGAATTGTAATTACAAGCATGTAACCTAATGACACGCCGCTGCCTTTAACCCACCCCGCCCACTCGAAAATCTCCTCCAGATATCCCACAAACGTACATATATCCCCACCTTCGAAAGAGGAGATCCTGTTTTTTTGGTTTTCCTTGTGGCTTAAGTGGAAAATGTTGTACAACAAAAATGGAGAGGGAAATGCAAGGAAATACGAGGTAGGAGTATATCATTGCCAAAGTGATTTTTTTTTTTTTTGGGCGTTATTAAATGAAGGGTACTTCAGGATTTTATTTTAAATTAACATTTTACGGGGAAAGGGAAATTAATATATTAATTAAAAACTCAGAAATAATACTAAATTAATGAAGAAATAAATTATATATTTAATATTAAATAGATTTATTCCATTTAAAGATTTATATAAATTCAATGAAAAATATTAATATTTCTGTAGAATTAGCCGATATTAATACTTCCCACCAATAAATAGACGACTTGAAATGCGATGAAGCTAGCTAAAATCAGAACAGCTGGAGGAATTTAAAAGTGAAATAAAATTAGGAGGCAACACATCTGGTTAATGAAGACGATGACTGGCATTAGCGAACGCATCGTTATACGCAGTAACCTCTGACCTCACCCCGAATACCGAATACCACCATCCAAGTCCAACCTATATTCCCACACAGACACACACACCGACACCGACACCTACACCGACACAGACACAACCTCATTAACACCCACCCACTGGGGGAAAACAAAAAAGCGTCCCAACATCGCCAATTGCAGGTGTAATATTTCAATGTGCGTGGGCCTTAACCCCCTGCTGCCCCGGCACTCGGCTAAATTTATACTCAGGCTCGGCTTTACGCTGCAATAAATACACTGAGAAAAATTGTGTTTCCTTTTCTTTAATTATTCTTTATTTATTTATTCTTTATTTGATTAAAGTTTAAATAATACCTATCATATATATAT